TTCGCATGTTCCCGCTACACGAGTGATAATTGCACCAAATCTGGGTCACCCTGCCTGTTTGTTTCCACGCTAGTGACTTTTACCCGTGAGTGCGTGACCATCGAGCGTGGTTCTCGGAATTAACTGAAATGCAGTTTTTTTTTTTGTTTTTTTCTTTAACCGAGGCTGTAACAAATTATCTTTTGTGCTCATATGCGGTGAACTCGGTTTAATTATATGGGGTGGGCCCAATGATATGATGCCGAATCAGCATTTAACTCAACGGGTGGGCCTAATTAATTACCTCTGTTGTGCGCTTTTATTTTGGGGTCCATTAACATAAATTAACATAATTAATCACAATGACTCCATGCTTTTTATTTTAGGAACAACCAAAAGAAAATGAGCCTTAAATCACAATAACTTTGTGTATTCTCTTTTCTCGACCATGGAAATAAAATAAAATTTTGCCTTTTGTAATATAATGTACCAAATCTCGCATTTAATAACATCATTTACTTTTTATTTTTAATAGAACTAGTATTTGTTGTAATGTGTATTATTGTACGTGACGTGATTAATTATTTTTAAATGATAATTATATATTAAATATATAATTATATATTCACAAATAATTAAAATTAAAAAATGCATAACAACACATAATGAATATCCTAATGTAAAATACATCACATAAAGATGTAGGAATTCAATGTAAACATTATTTTTATTTATCAAATAAATTTATCTAATGGAAGTTTTTCAAAGGAAGTAGAATTTTTAGTGATAAATTGATAAATAAAATTTTATTTATATTTATACTAAAAATATTTTAAAATGAAATTTCAAAAATATAACACACGTAAATGCTTACTTCTTTAATCAAAAGTTTTATAAATATTTTTGCTTTTATATAAAAATATAACTTCCTTTATCCAAAAATAATTGCCCACTATTAATTCTTTTGTCAAAGTAATTTTACTTTAATTTTATTTTTTGAAATATAATATTAAATTAAAATTTTAAAAAATGTATGTTTTAAAAATTTTGAAACTCAAAATTTACAAATTTTATTTTTATTTTTTTATTTTATTATTTTATTAAAAATAATGATCAAATTTTAGTTAATTTGATAAAAAAATCAATAAGAGACAATAATTTTGAGATAAAGAGGCTATTATAGATAGATTATAGATTATTTATATAAATTATAGATACAAATAAAATATTGTGTATTATCTCTACTATTTAGTCGATAGTAACATCTATATACATATATATATATATATAAAAGAAAATTAAATACCTAGTAAAGAAAAAATACATGAAGTTCTAATTGAAAATACTCTTTGACTCAGTATTTTTGTCCCATCATTGGTCAACTTTTTTTTTCTTCTATTTATTAGTGGACTTACTGACTCTTGAATTAATAGACTATTTATGAATATATCCAATAATAATATATATTTGTGATGAAATTGTCGGGACAAATAGAATGAGTGGTTATAATTTTTTTATTTTGTTTTACTATTTTTTAAAGATTTTATTATACATTTTAACAAATGCAAATATTAAGATTTTGATTAAAAGAAAAGAAATTATATGTTTTATTGTACTTTAACTTTAAAATAAGTAAATAAAAATGTTTTAATGATAGAATTTTGTTTAAATTATTAAGCAACGCCTAAGTCCAAATAAAATTTGAACAGACTAAGATGTCCAAAAAAAGTAAAATTTGTAAAAAATTTTCCTTTTTGCTAACAAATATTTAATAAACTAAATGATAATTATTTGTTAAACATTTTCATTGTTGCTCATTTGTAGGCCCAAACTAAAAATGCTAAACCTTGAAAAAGGGAACAAAGAAGGTATTGTTTTTTTCTATCATGTTATTATTTTAGTTTATGTTTAACTTTAGACTTGTTTTTCAATTGAATTTATTAGTTAATGTTGTAAGGTTGTGGTTAAGGTTTTTGACTTAGTGTAAAGAAATCTAATGAAAAATCTACAACCACTAACAAAGAGGTACTTTTCAATTTGTGTCAAAATTTAGTCTTTTATAGTTTGGCTAATTATTAATACCAAAACAATGTGCTACCATCTACTAAACAGACTATTGACCTTTCAAAAAAAGGTCGAAATAAAATGAAAAAAACACATGTGGACTATGATAATGGATTATCTATTATCAATGTAAGAAATATATAAATCCTATTTCTATTCATAAAACCTATAACAGTGTGATATTAGTAACTGAATCTATTCTATCCATAAAATCTAATAGACCTAGTTAGATAATTATTGGAAAGGGAATGAGAAACCTACTTCATGCATTACCAAAAATCAATTATTGGTAACTAATTTAATGCACACTAGTTATTTTCATTCAATATTGTTGTTTAGATTGGCAATATTATATTTTCATTTGTTTACTGTTAGGCACAAAGAAATTAGAAACAAACATAAAAGTTAAGACAAAAGGGAATCCATGGAGGTTTCCATAAGAGTTCTAGGGTTGTCTACACTTTCTACATAAGAAAATGTTGCAACTACATCCAAGAAAGGAAAAGAAAAACTTCTAGAATGATAGATAAATGTTGTTAGGAATGTGAGTAATGTTTTTAAGAATTTGTTGCTAGTGATGAAATTTTTTTATGTAACATCTGTCGCCATTATTTTTTGTATGTAATTGCTAGTATAAGCTTTTGAATGATAACTGATGGAATTTTTTGTATGTAACTTGTAAGCATTTTGTGACATTTTGCAAATGAAATGAATGAAATTATACTTTTCCAAATATGTTATAATATGCTTTATAATGTTTCCAAAGTATGAAATTATGCTTTATATTGTTTGAGTGTAAATGTTAAAAATAGGTATGCCAAAAAAAAGTTATATTAAACAAAATCATTATATAGCTTAGAAACAAGCAAGGTCTATTAAGCTGTTACATTCTTGTTCAAATCTCTAAACCACTATAGCAAGCCTAACAAATCATTTTGGATCATATCATCACTGCCATGTCTTATTACTAAAAAAAAATAATATTACCTAACTAAATATCAAAGCATATTTATAAAAAAAATTTCTCTTTACTTCCCTTCTTCTATCAAACTTGGAATTCTTTAGACTTCTTTAGAAAACCTCAATTTCAGCTTTTAATGTAGCAATTTCATCTATCAAGTCTTTAGTGTTAATTCCATAAAACATATTCATCCTTACACATCCATATTCACTCTTTAGCTCAGCTCTCTCAATACTTTGTTATCCTCCATCAATTTAAAATTCTCTTATTGCAACCTTTTTATTGGCATCTCTTAACTCAATTATAACTGCTTTTACATATTTTTCATTTAATTTCACATCATGCCAAAGAAAAAAATTCACTACATTTAACTTGCACACAACCAACAAATTCTATCCATGAGTTATCCTAAGCTGTCTTGAAATGTAACATAACCAAACAAACTAAAACCAAAGTTGTCCTAACAACAAAATTGCATAACCAAGTAGTATTCATTCAATTTAATTAAGAAAACCCTTAGTTGTCCTCTTAATACCCTATTCAAATTAACCAAAGAAATCCTAAGCTTTTTTAAATGTTTATCATAAGACAATTGTCCATTTCATCAATTATAGCAAAATCAAGTACCATTCCATCCATCGTAGCAAAATCAATTACCTGATAGTTTCTGCAACCAAAAAACCTTTTTCGAAGGTTGTCATCACTAGTTGATGTCGCTAATGGAGTTTTAAGTCCACAATTGTAGTACACAATATCACTTTCATAATTATAGGTGAAGGTTGCATGTCCTAACATAAAATGAGCAGAATGAATTTATTAACAAATTAATAACTAGTATTCATAATTATAATTATAAATGTTGGGTTCATCTAATTATGAACCATACCTATTTTGTTATTTTAATTATTGTAAACAAAAATTAGCAAAAAATTTCAAACTTATCAAACTTTTCTTTTGTTTTTGACATTTTTATATTTCACTCTTTCAGATTTCAATCGATCTCAATGATGTGCTCTATTCATTCAAACCTCAATCGTATCTCCCTAGTAACCTAAATTTCAATATGGTACTATACTCTAGCAACCCTTAAAGCCCATTTGTTACTCAACGCTTGAACTTCAATTGTATGCAAGATCAGTTTAAGTTAGATGAAATTAAAAAATTATAGTTAGATAGAAGCCTTTGATTTGAAAAAATCATAGAAAACAAATGAAGAAGAAAAATTTTAAGCATAATGAGATTTTGGGTTTGAAATTAGAATAATTGGGCATTGAAAAAAGAGAGAAAATAATCATGGTGGAAAAAAAATACTAACATGATGCTAAAAATTTTACACCTATACAAAAAAAAATTATAAATCAATTATTTTATGTGAATGGATAAAAAAATTATCACGTTAGCATTTAATGATCAAATAAATAAAAAAGTTTATCATATATACAATTTAATTATGACATCGAAAAAGTCAACCACCATTTAGCTACAGTAATAGCTACAGTAACCCCGTAATCAATTTTAGTAAAATTTACGGTTTGTTATTGTATAAAAATCCAATTTCCATAGTTTTCAGTGGAAGGCTAATTCAATCATTTCAATAAAAGCACAGGAGCCTCCTAGCAATTTGACCTTCTTATTATTAATCTTTGGGAGCTTTGTCCACCAGCGTAAAAAATGTTGGAATTTGGAATTTTTGTAAATTTTTTAGTATAAAAGGAAAATTGTATTCCCCTGTCAGCTTGTGATGACGTGGCTTGTTGTAAGTGGTGAAGGAGTAGACTTTGGACAAAAACTTACTGTAGATGACTTCATCCGCCGCTCTTTTTCTCTCTCCAAAACCAATGAAATGGCTGAAAAATTAACCCTCTCTCTCTCTTGTCTCTCATATTTCTGTGTTACTACGACAGCTACTATTGCTTTCTACCTAATCCAAATATTATATAAATTAAAAAATATCTATATATATATATATATATCAGAAAAAAATGAGAGAAAAAAATTTATCCAAAAAAAATGACAGAAAAAAAAATAGAGATAAAGGTGTTGTTTGGGTAAATAATTTAAGTATATTTATAGAGAGAGTGTGGTAGTTCTGGTTGGTGATTGTTGTTCGTTGTCTCTATTAATCTTCCTTCTTTCAAAAAAAAAAAAAAAGAAAAACCTTGAGCTCAAATATTTGCTTATTATTTGCTCTAAGCTTTTAGATCTTGCCTCGGTTCTACTTTACTTTCTGATCTACTGTGTTGACTCAATGTCGAACACCGAGCGATTCGCTGAGAAGATGAAATGCTGAGGAATTTTGTTCCTTTGATTGATTGAATATTTCAATGTTAATCTGCGAAAATGTCGGCTTCGTTAACGGCATTCGAGCGGCCCAGAGGGGGAGCCTCAAACACGGTAACATCCATTTATTCAAAATTTCTTCTTTCTTCTACTTTTTTTTTTAGTTTATTTTTGTTTGGTTCCTGAGAAAATGGAATGTGAATTACAATAAAGTTTTTGGATCTTTATATTGTGCATTTTTTGGATTGATTATGTGATGTTATAGATAATGAACTTTTGATTAAACATTTAAATGTTATTTTTGGTAGAAGTTAAAAGATTTTGCGATTTTTAAATTGAAGTTCAACTTATTTTTTAGTAATATTATTATCATTCAATTTGAACGAAAGAAAGGCATTTAAGAAAGCGAAAATTTTGAAAACTGAAAATAAAATAAATTGTTTGGATCAAATAAGGCATTGTAATCGGGAATTTTAATACTAGGGAATTTAATTTTTGAAATTGGATAAGTAAATAGTTAAAACATATTTCCTGCTTTGCTTGTTTCCATATAAAGCTTTTTCTTTAGGTTAAGAATTTGTTTCCTTACAAAAAAGCATATCAGCAAGCATAGAGCCAAACAGAATTTTATCTCAAACAAGTAGATTGATTAGTTAAGTTTCAATAAAATGGCCTGCATACCAGTCTTTTTCCTCCAACCCCTTAATTCTAGGGTTTGGAGAAATTGTACAAAATCAACTTTTGATTGTGTTTTAATGAGAAAGTTGTCTCGGTATTCAGTATATGTTTTGGTGACTTAAAAAGCATTGGTTCATGTTGAAACATAAATTTTAAGGAAATCAAGATGGGTAGATTACATAAAAAAAAGGAAAAAAAGATATGTGGAGGAAGCTAGGAAATTCGAGAACACTTTTGTGACATCAATGAATTTACACTTCATTCCATTCCCTTTGCTACAAAATTTTTTTAATTTAAAAGTTGTAATCTGTTCTTCCATTGTGTCCTATAGATCTCAGTGTCCTATGGATGTTGAATGCCTTAGTTTATGGTCCACAATCTGATATGGTTTCCTTGCTGCTTGGTATGACATTGAATTGATTTGGTGTCTATACTCACATTTTAATGTCAATTGGTAAACTGGTAAACCCATGCAGTGCCACAGCTCGGAGGTAGTTAATAATTCTTGAGAAAAACAACCTAATCCATTATGTAAATAATCAGTGTTTAATTAATTCAATGGGCGCTTTGTTAATCTTGAGAAAACAGCCTAGTCCATTATGTAAATACTCATTGCTTCAATCATTAATTGATTGATTTGCATAGCATTAACTGACAGTGTGACATTAAAAATTTTGGTATCCAATGATACATTTGCTGTATATGCTCCATTGAATTGATTAAAAGCTCCTTTTGGAAGAGTATAATTAGTTTTATGCTAGGCAGTTGGTGCTTGTTTATGGCTTCTGAAATGTGACAGTTTCACAGGTTTTCAAGAGTGGCCCTCTGTTCATATCCTCAAAAGGTTCGTAAAGTTTTTTATCACTGTTTGCTTTCTTCCCCACTTTTAAATTATTTTCTTAGATATAACTCTCATAAACAGTTTTCCTATCTATCCATGTCTTGTTCGTATAAATAATGCTTATATCTATTTATTTTAATTAATGAAAGAATAATTGTCCTTATTTACAATGATAAGTAAAAAACAATTTGTTTATTTGTCATAACTTTATGTGTATAAATCGCATCACATTTTGTGTATGCACATTTCCATATCTATATCTTTAAATTTGTTCTCCTTCTATGTGTGAGTGTTTATTTATTGTATCTGTATATGAACAATACTTCCCTTGTTTGTCTCCTTGGTAAACCATGTTTTAGTATTTGCTCTTTATTGATGGTGTCAGTATTAATTTTGCACAAAGCATTCTTGAAGTGAAGAATCACATTTACCCATCAGTTATTGTCTTCAATTCTTAGAGAATGTGCATCTTTTGTATTACTATTTGTTAAAAATCAAGAGCAGGATTGAGATCTGCTGCATTACCTTTTTTCCAATACACCTTTAATCACCTCATACATATGGGTACTAGTCATATCATTATGTTTTTTAAATACTACTTTGATTCAATTATCAATATAGCTAATCTAAAATTATTTTATAAGTTTTTTTTGAACTTCTGCAGGGATTGGTTGGAAGTCTTGGAAGAAGAGGTGGTTTATCCTCACACGCACTTCCTTGGTGTTCTTTAAAAATGATCCTGTTAGTACTTATCTTCCTTTCCATTATTAGAGTAATTATAGTAGGGCTTATTTATTTTTCCAAATTTTCTTATGTGCTGCCAAAGACATGCTAGTATCAGTAATCTGTTGCCTGATCATTAAGTTCATAGTTGTGTGATGTTTATCGGCTGTATAAAACAGGAATTGAGGAAATGGTTGTAGACTTTTCATTTTAAAAACAACAATGTTCTGTTGTATCGTATTCAATTTGTTAATTGTTTTTTTCCTCATTTTCTTATACTTTTATGTACATACCATGTCTTTTCAGTGCTTTAGCTGCTGCAATGGTTTAATAGTATATTTTAAATCATTTAGAATTGTTGTAAACGGATTAGGAAGATTGCGATAATCATTGACCATATGTGACACAATACTACACAGTCATCACATGAATTTGGAGAGTGGTTCTAGACTATTATGTCATCAATATGCTACTAATTTTAGATTTTCTCACTTCTTGATGTGCTATGCTATATAAATGCCTTTGAACTTTTTGGCCATAAGCATGATTTGATGGTACATTTTATATCATTGAACATTGTTATAGGTAGAGGATAATAGCAATTTAATACCAATGCACTTATATGGCTTTGTTTGGTTGTAAAGTATGTGCAACCAACATATTGGGGACTGTTGATGCTTTCTGTATCACCCTCTTAACATATGAAGTTACAATGTTGGAAAAATATGTAATAGTGAGGGCTTTGTATCTTCATTGCTTTGAAGGAAACAATTTCTGGAAGAAATTTTCCATTTGATGATCAAATATAAAATCAGTTATTGTGAACAACTGTTGACATTTGGATACCATCAATATTAAATTTTGCATGGAATTAAAGAATCCAAATTCTTAGAGAGGATCTTAGAGACTGAAGGATTCCTGCTAAGGTGTATTCCTTGGATACAAAAGGAGAAAAAAAAATGCAAATTTCTGTTTATAAAAGCCAAATGTGAATGTTAACTCTGATTTGAGAAGGATCAGTGCTTGTAGTGCTATTTTTTATTCAAACTTTCAGTTATACAAGTTACTCTCATGTGCAAACTGTGAAAACTTGTTAAGAATAGCATATCATAAAAGTAACCTTTGCAAATCAATCAGCTATACAGAAAGGATTTGGGATAGTCATCTTAGATTTAATGAATCCTCATTGTATCAGATCTTAATTTGTTGAAGATTGTCATTTCTACTTATCCATATCATATCATAATTATATCTTGTAGTTATATTTGTGCTTCACTGGGTATCACCTATGTCATTGGTGGCTAAATTTGGAACACATGTTAGGCATGATATGTGTTGATTACCTCGATCCTTGAATTTAAGGGATTACTATCAATACTGATGGTCTTCTTGAACTTCTTAAAGATCTTTGACTTAGGATATGGGGATCTTTCATTATTGGAGAATCCTTATTATGGTATTATATGAACTGGAACTCCTTTTCTGTGGCATATCTTTTAAGTTGGGATTGATAGTGGCTGTGGAGAGTCTTCTCCTGTGTTAACATGCTGATGTGCTCTGTCTATTTCTAACTTATATTGGCATGTCATTGGCAACTCAAATTTGGGAGTACAACTGATCAATGCATTATGATGATATAAAGGATAACTTTAGTGCTTTATCTTGGTATGGTAAATGCCTATATGTCCTTCCAGTTGGAGATGCCTGCCTTTGTCACCTCGGAGAGAACAGGCATGTACTTTGCTACACATTGCAAGGGGTGAATCCTTATAACATCTTTTGCTGATAAGAGGGTTGCTTCCTGTTATCTTCTCTCTGACACTCTAAGGGCTCTGCATCCACATTGATGGTTTCTTTTGATAGTTAGCTGAATTTTAAGCTTAGAATTGGACCCAATGAGGCAGCATTAATACCCAGAATGAGTTGAAGGTCTTCACTTGATTGCAAGGGAAGGAACGCTGGCTCAGAAGAGAATGTGGCTTTCTGACCTTGCAACCACATGTACCACCTTTGCCCTATGTGAGAGGGTGGGGTACTTTATGACTGGTCACTGTTACCATGATGCACTTGCTTGTTTGCTTTGCAGCATATCTTAGGGTCTACCGTTTGGTAAGGTTATCAAGATTTGCTCTATAGGATCTAGTTACGAACAAGTGTGGTACTTTCCTATTAAGGTCTTGAAACACACTCTGCAGACGTTATCAGTGAATCAAGTTTCTATATTGGTTGTAAGAACGGTCCTTGTTGTTTGGGTAGGAGTTTTGGTTACCCTCTGCAAAAGTTATTAGGATAGGAGTTTCCGTCTTGATGCAACTTCAAAATAGTGGTTTGCATGGAAATAATGTAATATTTCACAACTTTAGCATGTGCTTTTAGAGAAGGTGAAATGTTTGAACATGCAAGTGGTATTGTGATTTTATCTTTCTATGTATTCCTCACCTCTCCTCAGCTCCATTTCTTTTAATAGAGAGGGAAAGGGGAGAGGCTGATAATTTTCATGGTTCACTTTTTAACACATTGGTTAGAGGTCTTATTTCCGGGACTTAATTGAAACAAATTCTTATTGTTTTAATTTTCTTGCAGAGTGCCATACCACAAAGAGGTGGTGAAATTAATTTGACTTTGGGGGGTATTGACTTGAACAATTCTGGAAGGTGAGGGATAGTCATTGTATGTTTTCTATGATAGTTGTTACAATAGTCTTGCTTATAGTTCCTCTTGTTTGCAGTGTCGTTGTTAGAGAAGATAAAAAGTTGTTGACTGTACTGTTTCCTGATGGGCGTGATGGACGGGCTTTCACTCTTAAGGTGCATCATCTGTGGTTGACTATTGTTTCAACTATTATTTATGGATTTGCTTTTTTTTTTTTTTAACATATTTGAATGATTTATTTGTTAAGCATCCAACTTTCTACCAATTGGCAATAAGTGGAAGGGCCCAACTTGAATATAAGACTACAGGAAATTGAATATTTATTAGATGTGGGATAATCCACTTTAATAGGCCCCCATCACGCGTAGGTGAAGATGCCTACCATGTGACAGATTTGGAAAGGGCAACAGAAAGAAATCCTGGCTCTGATACCATGTTAAGCATCCAACTTACTACCAATTGGCAGAAAGTGAAGGGGCTCAACTTGAATATAAGATTGCAGAAAATTAAATATTTATTAGATGTGGGATAACCAACTTTAATATTATTGTTTGATTTTCCTGAAGAAAATCTTCAACAAGCTAATACCTTCCTTGTTGCTTTCTAAATTCAGGCAGAGACATCAGAGGATTTGTATGAGTGGAAGACAGCTTTAGAACATGCCCTTGCACTAGCGCCAAGTGCTGCACTTGTCATGGGACACAATGGGATCTTCCGAAATGACACAACTGATACAGTTGAAGGGTCATTCTATCAATGTTTGTTCCTCATAGTTTTTTTATAAATTTATTTGATGATTATCATTACTTATCTACAGATTCTTCTGCATTTTTTTTTTACTTATTTTTATTTGGTTTTTGGATTCTTCTTAGGGAGAGACAAACGCACTGCTAAATCATTGCTTGGAAGACCGATTTTGCTTGCACTTGAAGATATTGATGGGAGCCCTTCATTCCTAGAGAAAGCTCTGCGATTTCTCGAGAAATATGGTAAGTGGTGTTTTTAGATTGTGATTATTACTTATGTTACTTGAGCTATTCTTTCTGTTGTGTTAGGTCTAATGGAAAGTGAAGTCTTTCTGACATACAATCGTCTTGTATAGAAATTTGTAGTCTTAATCTTTGGAATTGGTTTTATTCTTGTGATCATAACAGTAGGGAAGATTTGTGTCTGTCCATTTGTTTAGAGCATAGGAATCCATATTTTTACGTAGTAAAACAGTATGCTGCTGTAAGGATCTCTGGGTTGTTTAAGTTTTCTCGTTGTATGCTATAGATGGGGAGTGGTCTAGAAGAAGCAGGTGGGTGGGGGGTTTTATGTTGACCTTACACACACCCACACACCCACACACCCGCACACCCACACACAGACAAATGATCAGATTGCATAGCAGCCAACTGTAAGATTGTTGTTGCTTCAAGTAAAATTATTAAGGATTAAATAAAACTGGCAATACAAATTCTTTTTACTCCTTTTTCTTCTGCTCTTGTAGCTGCTGATATTTCGATTCTGTAGCATGGGTTCCTATGCTTTCCGTCTTGCAAATTAAGTTCCTTTGCTAGGCTAGCAGTTTGCTTTTTCAGTTGTAATATTTTCACGAACTTAGGTGAAAATTTCCATGCACAGCCATCCTTTTGATCATATCTTATTTTTTTTACCTTACTTTAGGTCTGAATTTCTGAGCCATCATCTTGGCTAGAGTGCTCAATCCCACTAGCAGTTGCTTTTCTGGTATTCCATTAATTTAGGATAGTTAGGATATGTAGTAAGCTTAACGATCTGGTTGAGTTTGTAAAATTAACTAGTAGCAAGCCTATTTTGGAAGAACAATCTGGGAAATTTCAGTGGTTACATTAGGAGACTTGAGGGGATAAAGTGAAGAAAATGTTTTCTTGCTTCTTCTATTACTAATTTTTTTACTCACCGAGTCATGTTTCTACGACAGGAACAAAAGTTGAGGGAATTCTACGTCAGTCTGCAGATGTTGAGGAGGTTGATCGCAAAGTTCAAGAATATGAACAGGGTATCTTTTCATTTCAAATTGATGATTATTTTAGCACACCCACATATTTGCTTAGCTGGATTTCTCAACTGTTTTTTAGGTTCCTCTGGATAAATTGCGTTGTTTATATGCGAACCAAATTAAGGCTGTCTTACTTGTCTTGCTTTTTTGTAATGTAGGCAAGAATGAATTTGGTTCTGACGAGGATGCTCATGTTGTGGGAGACTGTGTTAAGGTAATTTTGTTGGTACATAATGCCATTTGTGTTATCAGATTAATGTTCATGTTCCTTGATCATCAAAGGTGTTTGATCCACAGCATGTTCTGAGGGAGCTACCCTCGTCCCCAGTTCCTGCATCCTGCTGTACTGCATTGCTGGAGGCTTACAGTATGTTTAACATTTTTCTTTTCTATTTCCCATGTTTTCTCTCAAGTTTTTTCACTTTGAAGTTTGATAGGACCTCTTGAAGGTGTTAAAAGATATTTATTGTTTTTATAAATCCTCAGTACATATTATTGGGACAATTTGGTATATTATATCTATATATATATATTTAAAACAAAAAATAAAACCTTGCCTTATGAAATTATGATGCTTTACATGCTCGCTTCATCCTGTACCTGTGAGTTTCGGCATGCTGAGTTGATATTGCAGGTGCAGCATATATTGACATGGCAAACCTACAATGAATAGAAGAATACGGCACTTAGAGCTTGAACATCCCTCAATTTTTGGGCAATTTATGGATGTAAATAAAGGAATATTTTACCCAGGGGATATACTTAAAATATGGTAAATGAAGCTATAAAGTTGCCCATTTAATACCCATGATTGTATAATTATTGTCAAACATATAATTATTTTATATAAATATTTATTGGAAACACAAACATCAGTATTTAAGGGGAATAATAGAATCTTTGCTGTTTTTTGACGGTTTTTTCTGTTTATTCCTTAGTATTTTCAATTTCATAATTGATAAAGTGGTCCATTTTTGTGGTCACTGGAATTGAAAGAAAATGAAACATATAAATAAAGTTGGCAAAAAAGAAGATATTAGCTAATATTTCTGTCATGATGATTTAACCATGGTGCTTAATTATCATTTTTTTTGGGGGGGGGGGGTTGTTGTGATGTCAGCTCATTTATTAAAATGTAGGAGGTATGCTCCTAGTTGGTTTGACATGGTTCCGCTCATGTGTATTTGAATCGCTTGTCAGGGGTCTTGAATCTGCTACTGCTATTGTTGCATTGGGATTGCCACTTTCTAATTCTTTTTGTGTGTATAAAATGATTAGACTTGAATGAATAGGCTTTTTGTGCCTTTGAACTTTATGCCCTGGAGCAAATCCATATATTACTTTTACCAAGTTTAACATTTTCATGAGTTTTTTGTGGATTCTGTTTTATTTCTGTCTGCTGCAACTGGTACAATTTTTTTGCGGGTAAAAGTCCAACTGGTTCAATTATAATATATCATCTTGATTATGTTAAGATTTTGGTTAACTGTCAATAGCATCAAGTTCTGTCCCAACAGTTTTTTTAATTCTTTTTGTTTCGTTTTAATTTTTTCACAAGTTTTCCATTATTTTTTAAAAAATATTTTTGCATTTTATTGAAATAATTGTTCCATGTGTCTGTAAAAGTTAATACTGTTGCTCTACGTATTTATTGGATAAGAAATTGATGGGAAGGAAGCTCGGATAAGTGCAATGCGGTCTGCGATATTAGAGACATTTCCTGAACCAAACCGGCGTCTGTTACAAAGGTAAACTCACTATCTCTTTCTAACATGACATGTTTTATTTTTTTCCCTCCATTTCCATATATTGTAACTTATGATTAAAAACTTTTATGGATGAGTTTTTAATATTTTAAAAACTATGCATTTGATACAATAAATATTTGTTTCTATTATATTTTTATTTTATAACTTTAACACTGCATAAGTAGTAGACATCTTGTTGACACAAAAGTAGATGCTAAATTATGATTTATTGAAAAGAAAGTATAGGATTAAGCATCTAGTTATCTCACTTGGTTGTGCTCTATTTGCGGATGACATTTGTGGGAAGGGTTCAACCAATATTAAGTGTTTAGACTACAGAAAGTAGAAGAGAAGCTACTTGACCCACATGCACTTCCATTCATGGGGAGCTTTGAATTGATAGAAGGGCTTTTCCTAACATTGTACTTTTATTACTGTTGTCTCTTAAACATGCTTCAAATCTTTCCGTTTCGTAGGTGAAGATACGTGGAAGTTGTTATAAATATTTATTGATTTATACAACTTGACATGCATCATGTTGTGTAGGATTCTGAAGATGATGCATACAATCTCATCTCATTCTCATGAGAATCGAATGACTCCATCTGCTGTAGCTGCTTGCATGGCACCCTTGCTTTTACGCCCCCTATTAGCTGGTGAATGTGATTTGGAGGATGACTTTGATGTTAATGGTGATAATTCTGCCCAGCTTCTTGCTGCTGCAAATGCTGCTAATAATGCTCAAGCCATTGTTACAACTCTTTTGGAGGAGTATGAGAATATTTTTGCTGTAAGATGCTCCCAGCCTCATTGTTATTTGATAGCATATCGATGTAAATGCTTTCTCTATGATTTATTATGCTACATGATAAACCCTGAGTGATTGTTTAAAAATATTTTTAGAATAATTCATACCCAAGTTTGTATTAAAAGGCTATATCATAAAAAATAAGTTATATAAACTTAGATGCTTGAAATTATATCGTATCATTTATAGCCATTTACCTCTTAGCATTAATTAAGCATAAAGTTATTTAGAACTCTTTTAATTTGAATGAATTTAGTAATAGGCTAGTACTGCCATTGTCAATGTGATGACAATGTCATTTTTTGTGTTATTATTGAGCAATGGCAAACTTGAGTTGATCATGCTGTAACTAACTATTGAAAGCTTGTTCGTTGTAATGTTTCTAATGATTGTGGATCTTTCTTTCTCATAATTCTAGTTTCAAAATATTGTTAACCTTTGCTTTATCAAAGCCCTATGTTTGTGGTCTTCTTTAGTATACTGCTATTTGTGGTGATTATTTGTGTTGTTTCAGGATGAAAATCTACAAAGATGTTCTATTTCAGCTGATTCTAGGATTGATAATAGTGCTAGTGAAGATTCGACTGATGATGAAAATCCAGATATGAAAGACAATGGCTACCATGATGCAGAAAATGAAGCTGATCCAGACACGGATGAAGATCCTGAACGCGTTCTCAGTGGGAAATTAAGTGAAAGCAGTGGTTATGCAGGCAGTGATCTGTATGACTATAAGGTTCTTTGTCACCCCTTTTCTCTAAATATACAAACATAAAGCTTATACATCCATGATTGCCCAGGCGTCCACAGGCTGGAGGCCTGGCTAGATTTGGGCTGGGCTTGGAAATGGAAATCTTTAGGTCTGAGCCTGGCCCAAGGATATTATTATGTTAATAAATAATATTTTTTATTAATTTTAAAGTATAATTAAAAATGTATAAAATATTTTTAATGTTTTAATAATAAGCGTAATATGAATGATCAGGCCGGGTCCAGTGCAGGTTTAGATTAGGTTTTCTATACGTCAAATGAGCCTGGCCTGGCCCATTGAAACCTTTGCACACGCACCTACACATACGATGACTTTGCATGAGAATTTTATGATGTCTGTTGTGATGATAAATGTTCAGAAATGACATCAGGATATCTTGGACGTGGGAAGTGGTTAAAAGATTCTTTGATTGTTGGCATGGTACTCTTGTATTGAACTTGAGAAGTTGATGAGCTTCATACAAAATAATAGTCCACCTTCTTGCTCTTTTGTGCATATTCTGCTGTGGGCAATCATATGTTTTGATTCTTTCAGAGTGTTGTTTTAGTGATTATACAACTAGAACAATCATGTCCTACGAACATGAAGTATCTAGGCTGGTGACTATCCATAAAGGAGATATGGAAGAGCATACTAACCATAGAATTTGAGTGATTTCAGTTGAAATGTGTAGGTTTGAGATGCATTTGTCATTTGATGGTAATATAAAAGAGGATAAATGAAAAAGAAATTATCTGTATGTTATGAAAAAGCAGTGAGGATTAATAAGGAGAACCTCAGCGTGGATAGTTTTATTATGTGTACAACTGATTTGCTGCCGCAAGAAGGAAAAAGAAAAGAGTTGAGTTTAAAGTCGTATGGATTGGAAATTGAAATAGTAAAGCAAAATTTCACTCTAAGTATCCTATTAAGAACATGCTTTTATACATGTAATTACCCCATCTAGTTTAGTCTTACTGCTGCAAGCTAGGCAATAGCTTGTTAAAGGACTGGAGATTGAATGAATGAAACCTTCTTGTTTTTGTATTGTAAGTTGTTTGAGGTTCCATTATTTTCTCAATAACACTAGCACCCTTTGAAATCATCCATGCAAACTTTGTTCACAATGTGGATGCTAAGTTTAATGCTGATTTGTTCATTCCTTCTTACTCAAACCATCGCAGATCTTGAGTGGTAATCCCTTTAACTGATTGGTAAATTCTTTTTTTTTTTTTTTTGTGTGTGTGTACAGGCATTTGGAGATGATGGTTCAGATGTTGAATCCCCTAGAGACAATCATACTCAGGCTGAGAGTTCAATCTTAGCTGTAGATCCTCTACAGATGAGAGATCCTGATCCTCGGCTAGAGGAACAATGTAAGCAAAATAAAGGAAATGAAAATCCAATTAATGAGATAGATGTCCCAAATGTGCTACCTACCAGTGAATCTTAGATATAGGTGAGATTTGTTTCAATGGATCTGGTGTATATATTGGTGGATTGAAATTTATGAGATGAAAGTTGGTAGATAAAAGGAGTCTTAATGGGGAGAGATAATTTTGGGGAAGAGAATGTGAGTTAAATTTTATGATGATTTTATAAATTGTGAGGAAGTAATATACATGACATTGGGAAAATAATGATTCAAGCTTTTATGGATTTTAGATATGGTTGATTAACTTAGACGAGATCTATGTCTCGATAAACTTTCCAGCCATGGAGAAAAGAAAAATTTATCTTTGAAATGAGTCTTAAGAATTAAGTTAAAAGCTTTATTTATTCTTGCATCTTTGCATTGTGTTTCATTGCTGCTGCCTAGGATTTTCCATTCCACAGTTTTATTTATTATTATTATTATTATTATTATCATTATTATTATTTTTGCTTTTATTTTAATAAACCCAGCATGCAAAGTTCAAGAAACAAACTTGGTGCTACAACTGCAAGACCAGAAGTATTCCATCATTTAATAGATAATACTCCACACCATCCATAGATTGCATTTATTATTTTCAATTTGATTTTTGTGAGTGATATAGCTTCAACTCGTAAGGATCTGTCTTCCTCAGTACACCAGTTTCTTTGCATGGATAAATTCTCTTATCTACTTTCTTCCTTGTGTAGTAACTCTTGACAAAATCTTTTGGCCCTGAACTTATTTGGAGCGTTGCTCTTTTTCACGCAATAGAACAAAAAATGGAAAATATGATAGCTGCATCAACTAGCTAAGAATGTCCTTCTTAAAGAAAATCCTGTGTTTTCTAAGAATTGCATAATTTACATATCTGAGTGCTTGATAACATGCAATCTTTTTCTCCCTTTGTAATTATACTTTGTAAGGGAACAAGTATATCTCTACAAACTATTACTGCACTCCTATTAATGCATCTATGCAACTTAAACGTTATTCCTTATTTTGTTGGACATACATGTGCTGTGGTTTCACACATGGAAACACAATGAGGTGTTTTACTCTCATGTTTACAGTTTTTATTGACAGAGTAAACCCATCCTCATTTGAATCTTCATTTACTTTTTTATACAGGCCAGAAAGACACCGTCAATGGAATCTGTTGATTCTTCTGGCGAAGAAGAGTAAGATACTCATTACATCTCATAGCTTTCAGCTTTACTATTTGTATTCCTTTTAACTCGTGTGTCTTCATTTAAAAACTATTACTCAGGCTTTGTGCTTTTGCAGCTCCTGCTTAGCACAAGATTGACTTTCAGTATCCATTTAAAAGTCTATCTACTTCTGATTTTGACTTGATAGTATTGTGAGATGCCCATATATTGAAACAGTGTGCAGTTTAGTTCTTATATTAAAACTGTCTAAATATTGCTTAGATCTGATGTATGCCATATTATAATGATAAAATTAATTTGTTGAATTGTTTTCAAGGCTTGCCATACAAAGGCTTGAGTTCACAAAGAATGACCTGCAACATTGTATTGCTAAAGAGGTAGCACTACTTTTTTGAATCATTCTTTGCTGTACTGAAGAAATATTTTGTATCCACGGACAGTTTGCTCACTACCTGTTGTAGGCTAGGGGCAATGCAATTTTACAAGCTAGCTTGGAAAGAAGAAAACAAGCATTGCATGAACGTCGCTTGGCACTTGAACATGATGTATTTCTTTCTTACCAATTGAACACTTATTTTTCCTCAGAGATTTTTATCTCTAAATCTGTTTGCTGATTTTTTATCTACATGTTTAGCAATGAATTGAGCTTAGGAACTTTTACTTTGCAATAATTTTGTATTAGTAGTACATGCTTTACTTAGGCCTGTTTCTATATATTTCTTGTTTTTTACTGTAATGAGGAGTTAGTTTCTAAACTATATTTTATTGAAATAATTAGGATTCATCCTTGGATTCTAAATTCAATCCAATCATCAAGAACCACACTGTGTCGTGCTTGTGTTGCCTGCTTCTCATTGTTCTATTGGGCCTTACTCTTCAATTTGATATTGAAGATGTTAGATTTCTGAACTTTCTTAGACCTTTTTGAAAGAGAAAGGGTTTTACAAATTTCTGGACACTAATACCCCAATAGGATCATGCAGTTGTAAATATCTTTCTTCTGCTGTTTCTTAAGTACATCCAATATAAACACCTTTGATAAGTGAACGATTTTGAACTGATGATGCCCGCATAGATGATTGGATGAAGTTCAATCTCCAGGGAGCCATGCTAACTTGAAGATTTTGTGGCTTGCTTTTGTCAATATAAAGTTATAAACAAGTAACACTTGGAGAGTTGATTTTTTTTTTTTCTTTTTTGCTACTTTTGCGGACTATAGAACAACTAAGTAATAATCGTGATACCATATGAACTAAAGTTGTTGTGCAGAATCTCTAACAGAGAACATATATGTATCTTCTTTCTTGTTAAGAAAACTATTTTTGTTATACAATTATCTAACCTTTTGTTGAAGAATTATATTCCTGAAGTTGTCTTCGTACTTACCTGTAAATAACTCTATAGGTCTCTAGATTGCAAGAACAGCTACAAGCTGAAAGGGATCTTCGAGCGGCACTTGAAGTTGGATTGAGCATGTCATCTGGACAAATTTCTAGTTCACGTGGAATGGATTCCAAGGTTTGTACAGATGTCAAGAGAATCACTTTTCTTTATAGATCTAGCATCCCTCATTCTTATAACTTAAATTGATGTAAAGACAAGGACTGAGCTTGAGGAGATTGCTCTTGCCGAAGCTGATGTGGCTAGATTGAAGCAGAAAGTTGCAGAACTACATCATCAGCTGAATCAGCAACGGCAGCATCATTACGGTTCTCTCTCTGATGCATGTGACCGTTATCAACATGTCCAAAATCATAATTCTCAACTGTGAGTTTATGGAATTCCTTTTGTTCATTTGATTCCTAAGCTTTCTATGTCTAAACTTAGTAGGCAGTTGCATGTCTGATTAAATGAGGTCAAAATGATTGTTCTCAAGGAACCAATTTCTGGAAAAACTAAAAAATAAAACTGTGTGGAAAACTAAGAGCAAAACTGAATTCCTATTGAAAAACTGCCCTTTAGAATTATACAAGCACCTTAGGTTTATATACAACTAACAAGTGGGTAAACTGGGAAACTAAATCTTCCTAAATTAATCCTATAATTGAGAGATTGTCTATCTTAATTTTCTATCTTTAATTCTAGGGATACGAATACTTAATTCTAAAGATACAAATATAAATATACAAATTACAATATTACAACCAGCTATAAATAAGTGTTTTCCCACACTCCCCCTCAAGTTGGTGAATAGGTGTTTTTCATTTCCAGCTTGGAAATAATTTCCTGAAATGTTGCACTATTGAGACCTTTAGTCAACACATCTACGAGTTGACCCTTGGTTGATTCGTATGGTGTAAAAATCAACCCACTATCTACTTTCTCCTTTATGAAGTGCCGGTCTACTTCAATGTGTTTTGTTTTGTTATGTTGCACAAGATTGTGTGCAATGCTTATTGCAAACTTGTTATCACAGTAGAGTCTTATTGGTCATCCAACTTGATCTTCAAGTCTTCTAGGATAATCTTTTAACCATAGTAGTTCATAAATTCCTTAAGCCATTGCTTTGAACTCAGCTTTATCACTTGATCTTGCCACCACATTCTGTTTTTTACTTCTCCAAGTTATAAGATTATCACCTAGGAAAGTGCACTAGCCTGAGGTGGATCTTTTATCAGTTACTGAACTTACATAATACACATCTATATATGCCATTAGAATCAGCCCCAAATTTCTTTTGAAGAAGATACCTCTCCCAGGATTGGCTTTCAAATAGTGTAATACACGGTAGACAGCTTGTAGGTGCCAAATATTGTTTTAGATATTCTCTCTTTTTCATCATCTCTGGTTACAATTAGATCATCAACATACACTAATAGAACTGTAACTCTCCCTGAATTCAAGTGCTTGATAAACAGTGTGTGATCTCCTTAACTCTATTTATATCCCATTGTTAGCATTACTTTGGCAAATCTCTCGAACTAAGCTCTAGGAGATTGTTTAAGGCCATAGAAAACCTTTTTCAGCTTGCATGCTTTGTTTGCTTCTAGATGACCTCCAAATCCTTGTGGAACCTTTATATATATTTCTTCTTCCAAATCACCTTATAGAAAAACATTCTTTACATCAAATTGTTGAAGCTGCCAATTGTAATTTGCGGCCAAGGATAACAAAATTCTAACTATATTCATCTTGGCAACTGGAACAAAAGTTTCCTGATAATCTATTCCATATGTTTGAGTGTGGCTTTAAGCCACCAACCTGGCCTTATACCTTACAACAGTACCATTGGCCTTGTATTTTGCGATGAAAATCCATTTACACCAAACTGGAATTTTCCTTTAGGCAACTCTACCAGTTCCCATGTCTTATTTTTCTCTAAGGCCTTCATTTCTATTTTCATGGCTTGCTTTCATTTCTTACTGGATAATGTCTCGGATAATATAGTTGGAATAGAAATAGTGTTTAGGTTGATGGTTAGAATTTTTCAAATGACACAAAATTAGAGATTGGGTATAGTGGATGCTTAGTACATTCTCTGGTTCCTTTCTTAATGGCAATAGGCAGATCATAATCACTAGTTATAGTTTTACGAGATTTATTCTCATTTTGAGAAATAAAGTTAGAGATTGTAGTTACCTTAATTCCAGAGTTAAGATCAGGTTATTGGACTTGCACCGGCTGAGGAGTTGGAACTTTCCTTCTTGAGTACACTTGTAATTCCTTCATAGAATCAAGAATAATTTTATCATTTGTCACAATTATTGTGTTTGGAATAGATTTAGACTCAAATTTAGTGTTTGACTTTGACTTAGAAAAAACAGGTTTAGACTCAGAAGAATTAATAGGTGAAAATGTTGAGGAGGGGGACAAGTCAAGCAAAAAGAAGTCTTTATCCTTATCTTCCACAAATGAAGTCTCCCCCTGAAGATAAGATTGAGTAAAAAATGGTTTACTTTATTCAAAAGTGGCATCTGCAAACAGAATTTTTTTGTAGGAGAATAACAGCACTTATACCCTTTCTAAGTTGATGAATACCCCACAAAAATGCATTTAACTGCTCTAGGATCCAACTTACCCCTATTATGACTGTGAACATGAACAAATGATGTACAACCAAATATCCTAGGTGTGAGGTTGTTTGTGATATTAAAGTTGGGATAGAATTGTTATAGTAGATCCATAGGAGTTTTAAATCCCAAAACCCTTGAAAGTAACCTATTTATAATGTGTGTGGCAGTGAGAACTGCTTCCCTCCAGTAGGATTTGGGTACGTTTGCTTGAAAAAGTAAGGCTTGGGTTATGGCTAGTAAATGGTTGTTTTTCCTCTCCCACTCCATTCTGTTATGGAGTATTAACATAAGATGACTCATGGATAACTTTTTTTTTTCTGGAAATAGGTAGATAGACTCTGGTTGGAATAGTCTCTTGCATTATCATACCTAAATCTCTTGATTTTCACTCCAAATTGATTTTGGATCATATTTTGAAAGCTTAAAAATGCACTATTCATATTAGATTTGGATTTAAGTAAAAATATCCTAGAGAACCTAGTACAATCATCTATGAAAGAAATAAACCACCTTACACCAAAAATATTAAGAATTATAGAGGGACCAGTTATGTCACAATGAATCAAGTAAAAAGGAGTAGAACTTCTTTTGTTACTAATTGAAAAAGACACGTCTATGCTTTGCAAGTTCACAAACATTACAATGAAATTTTCAACATTTTATCCTTTGAACAAAGAAGGAAACATGTTTTTCAAAGTTCCAAAAGAAGCTTGTCCAAGATGAAAATGATAAAGCTAAAATTTGTCTTTATTGGTAGATTTTTCAAAAAAAAATGGCAAAGGTAAATTATTCTTGATATTACTTGTATTGTTTGATATCTCAAGAAAATATAGTCCATCCTTTTCCCTTTGATCCTGAAATTCACGATAGGAGGTATAAAAAGTTACTTTGTAATTTATGTCTCTAGTAAGTTTTTGTATAGATATTAGATTAGTAGATTGTGGAAAAACTAAGAAATAAATCAGTGTGAAAACTGAATGTATGTTGAAAAACTACTTATTGAGAATTATACAAGAATCTTAGGTTTATATACAACTAACTAGGGGTTAAACTAGGAAACTAAATCTTCCTTAAAAACTAATCCTATAAATGAGGGATTGTCTATCCTAATTTCAGGGATACAAATACTTAATTCTAGAGATACAAATATAAATATACAGATTACAAGATTACAACCAGCTGTAAATAAGTGTTTTCCCACACTCCCTCTCAAGCTGGTGAATAGGTGTTTTTCATTCCCAGTTTGGAAATAATTTCTTGAAATGTTGCACTACTGAGACTTTTAGTCAACACATCTACAAGTTGACCCTTGGTTGATACACAAGGTGTACAAATCAATCTACTGTCTAGTTTTTTCTTTATGAAATGCCGGTCTACTTTAATGTATTTTGTTCTATCATGTTGCACAGGATTGTGTGCAATGCTTATTGCAGACTTGTTATCACAGTAGAGTCTCATTGGTCTATCTCACTTGATCTTCAAGTCTTCTAGGATAATCTTTAACCATAGTAGTTCACAAATTCCTTGAGCCATTGCTCTGAACTCTGCTTCAGCACTTGATCTTGCCACCACATTCTATTTTTTACTCCTCCAAGTCATAAGATTATCACCTAAGAAAGTGCAGTAGCCTGAGGTGGATCTTCTAACAGTTACTGAACCTGCATAATTAGCATCTGTATATGCTTCTAGAACTAACCCCGAATTTCTTTTGAATAAGATACCTCTCCCAAGATTGGCCTTCAAATAGTGCAATATACGGTAGAGAGTCTGTAGGTACACTTTTTTAGGACTATGCATAAATTGACTTACCACACTCACAGCATATGCTATATCAGGTCTAGTATGTGAGAGATAAATGAGTTTCCAACTAATCTTTGGTACATCTCTCTATTTACAGCAGCATCTTCATTAGCTTCTCCAATTTTATGATTAAGATCTATAGGGGTATTTACAGGTTTACATGCAAGCTTTCCAGTTTCCTTCAGAAGATCCATCACATATTTCTGTCGTAAGATGAAAATACCATGCCGTGAGTGAGCTACTTCAATTCCTAGGAAGTACTTCAATCTCTCTAGCTCTTTTATCTCAAATTCTCTAGCCAAACACTGTTTTAGAGATTCTCTCTCTTTTTCATCATCTCCAGTTACAATTATATCAACATACACTAATAGAACTGTGACTCTCCCTGAATCAGAGTGCTTGATAAACAATGTGTGATCTCATTGACTCTGTTTATATCCCATTGCTAGCATCACTTTGGCAAATCTCCCGAACCAAGCTCTAGGAGACTGTTTAAGGCCATATAAAGCTTTTTTCAGCCTGCATACTTTGTTTGCTTCTAGATGACCTCCAAATCTCGGGGGAACCTTCATATATATTTCTTCTTTCAAATCACCATGTAGAAAAGCATTCTTTACATCAAATTGTTGAAGCTGCCAATTGTAATTTACGGCCAATGATAACAAAATCCTAACTCTATTCATCTTGGCAACTGGAGCAAAGGTTTCCTGGTAATCCACTTCATAGGTTTGAATGTAGCCTTCAGCCACTAACCTGACTTTATACCTTTCAATAGTACCATCTGCCTTGTATTTTACAGTGAAAGCCCATTTACACCCCACTGGATTTTTTCTTTTAGGCAACTCTACCAGTTTTCATGTCTGATTTTTTTCTAAGGCCTTCATTTTATTTTCATGGCCTGCCTCCATTTCTCACTGGATAATGCCTCGGATAATGTAGTTAATGCAGTTGGAACAGAAATAGTGTTTAGGCTCACAAGAAAATTTTTGTGGGATTGTGAGAATTTTTCAAATGACACAAAATTAGAGATTGGGTATAGTGGATGCTTGGTACATTCTCTGGTTTCTTTCCTAATGGCAATTGGCAGATCATAATCACTAGTTATAGTTTTAAGAGATTCATGCTCATTTTGAGAAACAAAGTCAAAAACTGTAGTTACTTCATTTTCAGAGTTAGGATCAGGTTCTTGGACTGACACTGGTTCAGGATCTGAAACTTTCCTTTTTGAGTATACCTATAATTCCTTCATAGAACCAAGAACAATATTATCCTTTGTCACATCTTCCGCATTTGGAATGGGTTCAGACTCAAATTCAGTGTTTGACTTGGGCTCAGCAGAAATAGGTTTCGACTCAGAAGAATTGATGGGTGTAAATGTTGAAGAATGGGGCAAATCAAGCAAAAAGAAGTCTTTATCCTTATCTTCCATGAATGAAGTCTCCCCCTGAAGATAAGGTTGAGTAAAAAATGGTTTATTTTCTTCAAAAGTGACACCTGCAGACATATAAAATTTTTTAGTAGGAGGATGATAGCACTTATATCCTTTTTGAGTTGAAGAATACCCCATAAAAATACACTTAATTGCTCTTGGATCCAACTTTCTCCTGTTATGACTGTGAACATAAACAAATGATGTACAACCAAATATCCTAGGTGTGAGATTGTTTGTGGTATTGAGGTTGGGATAAAATTGTGAGAGTAGTTTCATAGGAGTTTTAAATCCCAAAACCCTTGAAGGTAACCTATTTATAATATGTGTGGCAGTGAGAACAGCTTTCCCCCAGTAAAATTTAGGTACATTTGCTTGAAAAAGAAAGGCTCGGGTTGTGGCTAGTAAATGGCTGTTTTTCCTCTCTATCACTCCATTCTGCAGTGGAGTATTAACATAAGATGACTCATGGATAATCCTCTCTTTTTGGAAATAGGTAGATAGACTCTGGTTGAAGTAGTCTCTTGCATTATCAGACCTAAATCTCTTGATTCTTACTCCAAATTGATTTTGGATCATGTTTTGGAAGCTTAAAAACACACTATTCACATCTGATTTGGATTTAAGTAAAAAAAACCCAAGAGATCCTGGTACAATCATCTATGAATGAAACAAATCATCTCGCACCAGAAATATTAAGAATTGTAGAGGGACCCTAAATGTCATTATGAATCAAGTAAAAGGAAGTAGAACTTCTTTTGTTACTGATTAGAAAAGACACACGTCTATGCTTTGCAAGTTCGCAAACATCACAATGAAAATTTTCAACATTTAATCCTTTGAACAAAGAAGGAAACATTTTTCTCAAGGTTCCAAAAGAAGGATGTCCAAGACGAAAATGATAAAGCCAGATTTTGTCTTTATTGGAAGATTTTTCAGAAAGAAATGACAAAGGTAAACTATTCTTGATACTACTTGTGTTATTTGATGTCTCAAGATAGTATAATCCATCATTTTTCTTAGCAAGTCCAATCATCTTCTCCGAACTCTGGTCCTGAAATTCACATAAGAGGGATAAAAAGTTACTTTGCAATTCATATCTCTGGTAAGTTTTTGTATAGATATTAGATTAGTAGATAATCTAGGAACATGAAGAATATTTTTGAGAACAAACGAGGGATTAACTTGAACATCTCCTAATCCTGTCACTGTGGTAAGTGAACCATCTGCAACAACAATTTTCTTATTACTAGGACATAGGTTATATGTACTAAACTTTTGTAGGGAATGTGTCATGTGGTCTGTGGCTCCTGAGTCAATGACCTAAGAACTCGTAATAAGCTTAACCGAGACATTTAATTAATGAGAACCGAAAGCTTTACCTGAACTAGAAACCTTACCCAAAGAACATACCACAGTAGGCTTTTCAAGGATTTTCAATAAGTTTCTTAGCTTTTCAATCTCTTCCTTGTCGAACTTTCCTTATTTCTGAGACATCTGTAGTACTCCAGTGATTTTTTCAGTTAACATTTCCTCAAATTGAGTGGTAGTGATATCTTTCTTTGAAAGGGTTCGGCAATGAAGGCCTAAATAGGATTCGGCAATGAAGGCTTAAAAAAGTCAGCAATGAAGGCTGAAAATTTTGCTTCCCTAGAAGAGCCTAAGGCTCTGATACCATGTGGAAAAACTAAGAAATAAATTAGTGTGAAAACTGAATGTATGTTGAAAAGCTGCTTATTGAGAATTATACAAGAATCTTAGGTTTATATACAACTAACTAGGGGTTAAACTAGGAAACTAAATCTTCCTAAAAAATTAATCCTATAATTGAGGGATTGTTTATCCTAATTTTAGGGATACAAATACTTAATTCTAGAGATACAAATATAAATATACAGATTACAAAATTACAACCAGCTATAAATAAGTGTTTTCCCACATAGACAATCGAGGAAGAACAAACGAGGGATTAATTTGAATATCTCTTAATCTTACTACTGTAGTAAGTGAACCATTTGCAACAACAATTTTCTTATTACTAAAACACATGGTATGTGTACTAAACTTCTATGAGGAATATGTCATGTAGACTGTGGCTCTTGAGTCAATGACCCAAGAACTCATGATAGGCTTAATGAAGACATTTAATCCATGAGAATCAGAGACTTTACTTGAACTTGAGACCTTACCCAAGTAACATACCTCAGTAGGCTTTTTAAGGGTTTTCAATAGGCTTCTTAGTTTCTCAATCTCTTCTCTATCCGATTTCCTTCACTCCCGAGACTTGTGTAGTGCCCCAGTGATTTTACCAGTTAAAACTTCCTAAAATCGGGTGGTAGTAACAACAGATTCTGTTATCTTTGAGATTTTTATTTTTCTTTGAATTGAAACAAGTTTTAAGATATAACCAGAAATGACTCTTAGCAATGAAGGCTAAAGAAGGGAAAAATAAAATGGCTATGAAGGCCTTAATAGGGTTTGGCTATGAAGGCTTAAAATAAAAGTCAGCAATAAAGACTGAAAATTTTGCTTCCGAAGAAGAGCTTTAGGCTCTAATACCATGCAGAAAATCTAAAAAATAAAACTATGTAAAACTAAGAGTAAAACTGAATCTGTATTGAAAAATTGCTCGAGAATTATATAAGCATCTTAAGTTTATATGCAACTAACTAGTGGATAAACTAGGAAACTAAATCTTCCTAAAACTGATCCTATAATTGAGGGATTGTCTATCCTAATTTTCTGTCCTTAATTCTAGGGATACAAATACTTAATTCTAAAGATACAAATATAAATATATAGATTACAAGATTACAACCAATTGTAAATAAGTGTTTTCCCACACAATTACAAGAATTCGTTTCAGTACTGCATTAAGCTTTCGAATTGCCTTTTGTCAGATGCATTTTTATCTTTGCACATTGCATGAAACCATCATGTGACTTTTTCCCATCCTCTTGGTCCCTTGCATTAGGAGTTATCTTTCAAGCTCCCTCTCCCTCTTGAGGATTCTGAAATCCATCAGTATCATTTTAGCCTAAATATAATATGCATTGATATTGTACTTTTCTGTTGTCATGCTAGAATGCAACAGTTACTCTTCTGCATGATATAGTAACTCAAGACTTGGGCTCCCGCAAGGGACCTTGACAAATATCTTTTAAATACTAAGGTCTTTTGAAGTTCTTTGGTTATTAAGGTAAATTCAAGCCCTTAAGAAGATGAAGTTCTTACATTTTGTCTTGAAAAACAGGCTTTCTTATAGGCGGATTTTGTTGAGTGGAGTGTGGGAGGGGAGACATCTTTTTAGTAGCTTCTGAATCATTAAAGCCAAAAGCCTCAGCTAATTAGGATCGGGTTTGATGTTTGGAAGGGAATGTGGTTGATACCTAATTTAAAAAAACAAAAAAAAAAAAAAACAACAACAACAGCAACAATTGCATCCCATAGAGGAAAGAACTTTTGCTACATTGTTATGAAGAGTTTTTATTGTTTCGCAGTGGTTTACATGAAATATGGTGATTTTGAAGGAATTCTAATGATTGATAATTTGCACATTATTTTATCATTTTTATGCACTTTTTACTAGGCACTCTTTGACTACCCAAAAATGGTAAAGAATAGATGTCTATGAAATTTGTCCGCTAAAGAGTCCAAACTTGTTAATTTTTTTTATGCTTGAGGCTGTCAGGATTTAAACCTGATTACTGGAACTAAGAGTCTACTATTCTACAAACAGACGACACGGCTATTAGCCAAACTCATTAATTTTAGTCAACTTTTTCTTCCCTGTGCTTAAATTATATATATATATATATATATATGTATTTTTTGTCTGTAGGAGGTTTCTTCAGCAAGATTTTGACACAACCCTTGCTTTTTGTAATCATGAGAGGAAACAAAGAACAGAGGTATGTCTTCAACATATTTGTTTAAACAATCTATGTATCTTGGTTTATTAAATCGAACTTTAAAATTTCATTAAGGAAAATTTCTAAGAATTTGATCTTGCTGGCTTTCATCATTTTATTATTTTGTTTTTCCTAGTGTTTTTAGAACCAGCCTAGTCCTGTCATTTGACCCAGTTTAATTGGGACATTGAAGGCTGTCCAGGCTCGAAAAGCCCTAAGCCCAAACTGGTTTATAACCTGGTCAAACCCTGATGGTCCACTCCTAGTTGGGTTTCTTTTCTTTTTGGGCTTTTAATCCAAAAAGGACAAGGAAAGAGGTTTGTTGGTTGGGGCTTTAAGATTTTAGGCCTGAAATGAGAATGTTTTATGGAACAAGATACGAGGAAAAACTAAAAAAGAGCTACAAAAAATGTAGAAAAATAAAAAGGGGGTGATTTTGGAAAATATTAAAATACTAGAAAAGTATCTAACACAATCTCTCAGCTAATTTCCAACCAAAAAACACAAATCCATCTGCCCAAAATAACGGCCAAAGGAGCTGAAATCATATGACCTGAAATCCTAATCAGTCAATGTAATTGACCTAATATTTCAAACAAAAAAAAAAAAAACCCAACATCAGAATGAGGTGAAGCTGCTCTAAACTTTGGGGTGTGTTTTTGCCTGATCAAGATTTGGTGAAAAGTTTGAAGAAAGAGAGGGGTTGGCTGAGGGGAAGAAATAGGAAAGAAAAAGAAAGGAGGAAAGAGAGGAGGCTGCCATTGTGCGTAGTGGCTGTTGTTCAGATGTGATGTGCTCTGACGTAAGAGTGGCGGGAAGAAATCTAGATAGAGAATCCCAAGCTGTGAGAAGGAATCTACAGGGGAAAGAAAGGCTAGAGAGAAAAAAAATTCAGCCCATCTCTGGAAATGAACAGAAGAAGGGTACTGTATGTAAAAGGATGCTGAAATGCACCATGTGTTGGGCACCTGGGTCGGTCAAGCAGTTGACTAATGATCACACCTCTTGGTAGGCAGGCTCTGTACTTGTTAAAAAGTCCCTGGTCTTTTGCTGTGCCTTTAATTTTGTTTTGAGGAGAGAGGCCTAATAGGTATTTTTACAGACACTTGATGCACTTAACATAAAGCTCCTTCAGTTAACTTTCAGCCTTTTCATAACAAGCATAAATTTCGGCCATATGTATTCCACAAGAACTATACCAACTAAGTTCGAGGCTCAAAATCAATACAAACTTATTCTCAAGCAAATAAACAAGAACTAAGTATTATTTTGGACTTTAAATGCATCAAACATTATTATTGAGACCAGAATAAGAGTTCTTACACATAAAGTTTGAAACTTTTCTCACCAAGCACTTACGAAAAAATGCTTTCTTTTTGCTCTAGCATTTCCTCGCTATGTTTTTTGCCTCTGCTTTCTATTCTGTTTCTAGCTACTATGCAACCATTTAGTTTTGTTTTTGTTTACTTTTTACCTATATTTTTACAACCTAAATTGGCTTAAAGCCCACCAATTCAAGTTCAACATATATAAAAACAAAATAGGCCAACTAGAAAAGTTAAATCCAAAGTAAATACCAAACAAAATTGGTTCTGCAATCCCCTTAAACCCATTTTCTATTTGTCATTACCAACATCACCTTCAATCCTCTAAAGACATCAATCTTCACTTGGGTGAAAGATTTGCAAACCAAGTGAACTTCTTTCTTCTCAAATTGCTAATTATTCTGCATCTTGGGTGGTCTGCCATGTTTATACATTGACTCCTCACTAAACTCACTCTCCTGCTTCCAGCTTAACTGCTCTCTTCTCAAATCCGCCATTGCTACTGGTATCACAGGTATCATCATTTGGGTCTTCACCACAAAAATTTACAAAATGGAAGCCCTTACACTTGGATTGCTATTATTTGTTCCATGCATCTAAAAAGCATTGCAAGAGGGGAGTTCCTGTTTTTAAACCTGTATTCACAAAAGGCTGATCAAGTTTGCTCCATGCTAAAATTCTGCAACAGTGAAGACATCACTATGATAGTTGCATCGAATTTATTCCTGGTTATCCTAAGAAACTAGCCTCTTGTGTTTGTTTGTCTTCTTCTATTGCTCAAATATTGCACCTTCCCATCCAGAGGCACAGTGCCCAAACCAATCATCCAATCCAAGCAAGTGTAGTACTCTTTCATTCATACAATTTATAGCCGTCGTTCTCAGATTCAGTTCTATTCACTGAGTTGCAGACTGAGAAAGCATACCACTTTCTATTTTTTGTCTAACTAGCTTATACTTCCTGCCTTACATTGGTGTTCCCTTTTGTAATGTACCAACTGAATTATCCTCTTCATGAAGAAAAAATTCCTTTTCAGCAACTTCTGCCTTTCTTTACATCCTCATTGTCCCCATTGCCCTTCCATGTCTAGGTTGTTTTTTCGTTTTCTTTTCAACTTCTTGGTCTTTTGGCTTCTTTTCCCTTATTTCTTCTGAACTATAATTTTATTGGGTATTTCCTTTGGTTTGTACTTTATGAGTTGGTCCATTTGGTTTATATATATGTTGGACTTGAGTTGGTGGGCCTTAGGCCAATTCTAAGTTACATGGACTCAGGTATGGGTGTCTTATACGAGTACATATCTAAATGTTTGACTTGCTTTTTGCTCAAAATCTTGGACGCGCAGACCCTGCTAAGAAGGATCCAAAAGTATGATATGGACGTTTGGATACCTTATGATAAAATTTCTTTTCATTTTCCCTTGATGAAAAAACGAAAATTAATGTTCTCTTAAACCATTTTTCATCAATCAAATTCATTTTTTTTACTTATTAATAATTTTGTTCCATAAAAGATTAATTAGATCGTTTGTTTTAATAATCTCAAACCCATAAAATCAAGAATCGGGCAAGCCCAAAACATAATTACTCTGCTTTTAGACTGAACTAAGACATTAGCCTTTTTAACCCTAATTTGAAGAAGGCTTATTGGATGGGCCAAGGTGTTAATTCCTCTGTTAAGCTCAAATTGTAATAAAAACAAAAGCCCTAACAAAAGCCCCATTAGCTACAATATCTCGTCTTCTTTTGTCTGACCAGCCTCAGCAAAAGACTTGAATTCCCTTCCACCCTCCACCCTCTCCCTTTCTTTTTATTCTCCCATAGTTGCTGCAGCTAGCCAAAGAGAGGAGGCGTGTCTGTACTTCCAATACTGCGTCAGGCACATATATTTTACCTGCATCTGTGTCATGTTGATACCAGAATGATGATCTAAGAGAGGGCCTATTTAGAGTGTAAGTAGAGAAGTAAAAACAAAAACAAGGCTTATAATGGCTATGTACTGGCTGGAAACAGAACAGAAAGCCTAGGCAGAAAAAGTAGTAAAGAAAAAATAGAGCAAAAAGAGAGCTTTTTGAGTGAGTGCTTGTGATGAGAAAATCTTTGAATTTTATGTGTAAGAACTCTTATTCTAGTCTCCATGATGATGTTTGATGCATTTTAAAGTCCAAAAATCAGATTTATAATCTTGTTTGTTCGCATGGGTACAACTCATGCTTGGTAATTAGTTTGTGTTGATTTTGAGCCTTAATTTAGTTGATTGAAGATAGTTTTGTGGAATATATTTTCAGGAATTTATGCTTGTTATTGTGGTGATAATTGTGACTTTGGTGGATTATGAGAATGTTGAAATTTATTTTGTTTGAAGAAGCTTTATGTTATGTGCACATAGTGTTTGTGAAATGTCTCTTAGGCCTCTCCCTTATTTGTTTTCTTGAAAATGGTCATCAACTTTTGCTTGTCCTTTTCCCTTTACATTTATGTCTATCTTAATATTTCTCCTTAATTACTGTCGTAATGCTGAATGAGCCAATAATGCCGAATTGCACAGGTGTTGTACATGAATGCCTGTATTCTCATCTTAGGTAGGATACCCCTTTATGTAGGAGAATATACAATAAACAAATCAAAGCAACTCATAAGTATATTATAATCCAGTTAAATAGTTTGAACATATGTAGTAACCCATTAATACCTCATATATTGCTGATGCTTTAGAAAACTAAGTGGCTCCAAATTGTGATATCTTAGAAGTATGGCTAGTCAAGGGCTTTAGTGGTTTTACTATGTTCTGCTGTTTTGAAACATGGCCTTAGGTTGATGCACATAAGTAGCATGAAATAAATTCTCTCGTGGTGTCTTTGTAAACCTAATGTTATTATAATTTTCTTTGCCTACATTGACAAATTTGTTAATTCAATTTGAATTTTTTAAAAATCCTTTTTGAGGAGCCATCTATAAACCAAACGCCTACAAACAAAGAAACTAGCTCTGCTGCCCTGTGTATTCTTGTGCCATTTGCCCACTTAACCAAACTTGTAGCATGTGCTAAGTGATTACATCCTCTTAAGGAAAGTTATGTGCAGATTGTCCATTTTTGTTTCCTTAATTGGGTCAATTCCCTTCGTTTTGTGTGGTTTTTTCAACAGATTTTTTACTGTTGGAGGATACCTAAGTGGAGGGAATGAATTTCTAGATTGTATGGTTTTTCAAGTTTTGGAACATGCCAAAAAAGGCAAAGTAACCATCCAGAGGAATTTCACAAATATCCAAGTATGCTCTATTGAGTACTTGTTATAAATCAGTGAGCCATTCGCTCCAGAGAAACGTCCTTTGCATATGAAATTGACTGATGTTTATTCTGCCTTCCTGATGCCATAAATCATTGGTAATGACGACTAAAGTAAATTGATGATGAGCACAGATCAGTTAATGCTTTTAATTTTTCTGCATCAATTCCTCTCAAGCTGATACTCTCCCATTTGAACTTATTCTTTTTTTCTTTATCCTGCAAATTATGTCTTCTTTTTTGTTCTCTTCTTTCAGATATTCATTTTCATTCCTCCTTTTATCCACTCTAAATATGCCTTTTTAAAACTATCTGCAGGAGAGTTTGTCAGGGCCAGACTGGAGGAATGTTAAAGGACAGGGATTGGCAGTTGGCAACAGCAGCAGGCAGCCTACTCGAAAGCAATTTATGGATTTGACAAGCTCGAGTGACTCAAAAAGTACTGAGGTATCAGCAAATATGTCTGTGGATGAGCTTTGTGTTGTTGATTCTGCCTCTATCCCATCCGCTTCAAGAGCAGTAGAGGTAAGACTGTTTGCCTGTTTCTATTCTGCAGGTGACCGAGATTATTTCCTTCTTTTTTTTTTTCTTTCAGTCTTGGCCACTGAAAGATGTGCATCAGAATCTAATTATGCGAAACTTGACTATCACTTGAAACCTTCTAACTGGCAGATCAGCGAACTCTTACCTGAGTAATTCTTGGATGAAATAGTTAGTAGATACTGATACTGATGCTGTTGTCAAATGCAGGTAATTGATTATCCAAGACATCCATCAGCAGCAACTTCTGCTCTGGTAGAATTAACAACCCGTCTTGATTTTTTCAAGGAGAGGCGTTCCCAACTAATGGAACAGCTCCACAACCTTGATCTGAACTATGGCGCATCCTCTCAGGATTTTGTATACAGACCATCGACATCACCCCCATGGAACTAACCGGGAATGGAATATAGTGAATCTGGAGGAACAATGTTTGTCTTGACGTACATCCTAAATTGTTGCTTATAAATTTATTTCTTTTCTTTTCCTTTTTTTTTGGGGGGGGGGGGGGGGGGGGGGTTGTGAGAAGTGATTGAAGTTGTAACCATGTTGTAATTTTTGTCAGACATTGTAAAGAAAACCAGTGATACTGTCAATATCAGGTGGAGCTTGGAGGTATGTATTTGAACGAATGTCATTGAAGAGAAACTCTTTTCATTTTGTGCACGATATCGTATGATCATCTCTGCACTGCTAATATATAAAGTGATTGAAGGTCTATTTGGGAGGTGGAGCTCTGCATGGGAAGGTGCGTTTTATGGCTTAGAATGCTAAGGGCACACACATCAACAGGCCTTTGGACAGTTGAGCTCTTAAAGAACATTAATTGAAGTCAATGATTATGAGATATTAAACTTATTCTTTGAAGATTTATTTGTTTGTAATCATTATTGGATCACAAAAAAATTAGTAAGCCTATTTGCAATTCAGCATTCAACGTACAAAAATATTCCATAGAAATATTTTTAATAACTTAAGAAAAAAAGAAAGATATATTAGTTTAAAACACCAATTGTTGCAAAAAAAAACTCTTAAGACAAAAGCAAGTACTTCATAGATTAAGAGAGCAAAAAGCTTGTAAGCTTTTAGAGGAAAACTTTATTTTTATACAGCTAAAACTTATATATGGCTAATATCAATATGCTTTACAACATCTTATAAAAAATCCTCAAATTTCTCTATGCTCAGGTCATTAAGTGATTTTAGAAGTCATTAATATAAAGGTAAAGTCTCAAATAGAGGTCCACTTCAATCCCCACGCACATGGTTGTACACACAAGTTATGTTAACCAAAATGTAATAGCAGTATCTATATATATATATATACATCTACTGTCCTTTAATCTAAAGTGGGCCTAGGCTTTTTTGTTTTGTTTTCCTTTCTGCCAGACATCACCTATCTTCTATCGCTTCTTTTGATCTAGCTTATAAATTTCACTTGAACTCGAGCATGTCTAAAATGTCGTGCCAAAAATACCTCAAAATAATTAGGTCAATAATTAAACTTATAAACCAAACTGCAATAAATGATTATAAAATAAAGCTTAATAATTTTAGTAAATTACGTGTATTCATCAGGGTGTGAATGTGAACATAATAACAACAACATCCATCTAAATCTAGTGCGTCTGGCATTCACACCATAATGCCAAACTAAGGCTAAATATGCCAAATAAAATTTACTTGAGCTACAATGTATCGTTTAAGGTTAACCGAAGTTTCACGAAGTGGCATACCTTCTCTTTAAGCTCTTTACTTTCTGACAACCACGCATGACACGTAAAGATATCAATTTACCTCCTTGTAAGTATCTGCCAACTAACATAACAATTAGAAAAAGTAGATGCATCAGCACCTAAACTTCTACAATTGCATTTTAGTGATGAAAATCTATGGTTAAATAAGGCTTCAATTGGAGGATTATTTGTATAATTTGGAAAGTAATTTCTTAAAAAGATATAAATACTATTGCTTTGGGGAAAGGGGGTTGTCCTTTTATTAGAAAATTAATACCATAAGCTTCTTACAATAACAAATAGGAACCACAATAGTTCAGTGCCTAAGCGGGAAAATAAACCACAGGGATCAAAATTTAATTCACCCAACACTAACTCTTATGGACAATAGATTTATACCCTCATTCTTGAATGATAAACAATTATTTTAAATGGATACGTAAAATACCTCAATTATATCATGTGGAAGGCTTATTAAGCATATAAGAAAATTTAAACCAAACTATGCAAGTTGTATGTAAACAGGTCATTTAGCATGTAAGAGTTGGCAAAGGTAAATGAAAATTAAAGTAGATTTGTTAAATACAAAGAGAAGATTCAACTTTTTGCATTAAAAAAATATATTGCTTTTTGAGTTGAAGTTAACTTCTTTTGTAGTAAACAAAAAGATCATAACAAATTGTCAAGTAAAAACTCGAAAATTTTAAGAGCTATCAACTTCAAGAGTAGAAAAATTACTCTATAAAAGGCATGTCCTTTGTATTTTGCACTTTTAATTTAGTTACAAAAGTGATCGTATCTGTTAACATTCTATTAACCTTAATAACATCTAGAAAGTCTCCTTTGTATTTGCTTGATACAATCTTAGGACTTCCAAATGAAAGGTTCAGAATATGAGATACAAACAACTACAAGACCAAAAAAGAGTAAAAGATAGTATATTTGGACAAGCATATAAAAGCACTTCATAGCAAATAAATAGTAAAACTGAGACAAACATATAGTAGCTAATATATTTGACATTAAGGGTTAGCAAGGAAATTTGCAAACAGCTCTGATGTACCTTATCATAACATATAAATCTGTAGACCTACCACTAGATATGGATTAAAGGGAGTCACCATCAATTTTTTTGTTGAAGTATGATTGGCCACCTAATCGAATCTGCCCTATTTAAAGAAGAGTCTTAAGATTGACTTAGGTATATTTAAATAGTAGATTCTAATCCACACAACCAGATTTTAGGTTCAATAGTATGGTTACGTATAAAGAAAGTTATACCACCTCACAATGGCCATCCAAAAGATAATACTAGTTTGATTTCAAATTATTCAAGCCTTAAACATGTTTATAATTTATCAAAATATTTATTATAGAAAATTGATTTTAAGATTACTTCAATAGTTTGGTAGTAATTTAAGATAATTTTCTCACTTTAGGAGTATTCATGGAGACTAGTGTCTCACTCTGAAGATGCTTCATCATTGGATTTATTAATGTATTTTACTCAAAAAATAATTAGTAAAGTCCTCCAATAATTTGATAAGATTTATTTTGATGCAGATCCCTAATAGTTTGGTAAGATTTTATTGTAAAAATATTTATAAAATTTTATTTTTGAGAAAATTCATAAAATCTTCCAATAGTTTGATAAGATTTAACTTAAGATGCAATCCTCAAATAGTTTAGTAGGATAAAATATAAAACTTTATTAAAAAATTAATTTTCTTTTGAAAATTGATTTATGAAATTTTTCAATAATTTAGTAGAATCTATAAATTTTAAACTTATGAAAAATCCTCTAATAGTTTGGTAAGATTTATGAAATTATTTAAAAAGAGAAATTTTCATTTTTAAAAAATTTTTAGGTTGTTTTCCAAAGATAAAATACTAAAATGGAATTTTACAAATTATTTAATAAATAATAAATTACTTAATTTAAAAAAAATCAACAAAGTAAAATAAAAAAACTTAAAAAATAAAATGGTAAAAATAAATATCAAACAATAAAAATAAAAATAAAATGAAAAAAGAAAAACTTGTGATTGGATCGGGTCGGACACATAGGTCATACGAGGGTTAATGGGTTGATGCACGGATCTTAAGTTAGTTAAAATAGTGTCGTTTAGCACTGGTATAAAAGCCAACTCCTCAGTCTTTTCTTTAAAAACTCTCGATCTTCTTTCTTTAGCCAAATTTCTCTATGCTTTCTCTTTAAAAAACCCAAGAACAAGTTACCAAAAACTGGTTAATCCATCAGTTTCTAACAAATATCACTAGAATCTTGTTGGAAAATTCAAAGCCCTTTAAAAAATTTAATAGAAAATTCAAACATTTAAATAAAAAACCTAATTTTCTAGAAATTTCCCAAAAATTTTCAAATTTTTTCAAAAATTCAAACTTAAATCCCAGAACTTTTAATCCAAACCTAGAAATTCAACCTCTAAATCCTTAAACCCAAAAATCCAAACCCAGAATCCTAGAAACTCAAATCTAAAATCCTAGAAACATATAACGCTAGAACTTTTTACCCAAAATTTAAAATCCAGAGTCTTTCCTCCAAAAATCAATTTGTCTTTTTTCCAAAAATTCCCTCGTGAATTGTTCTATGATCTTGTGTTGAATTTATAGCGAGCCTAACTTTAAGGCTTAAATAGAACCAATCCAAGCTTGAATCTTGGGATTAGATTCTGCTTAAACATGATTTTAGGCATGTTGTCTAATTGATTTGATTTTAGATTAAAAGTCTTTTGATTATGCAAATCGATTTCCCTTTGTTTCGGTTGATTCCAGATTCAATTTCCTTATTCAATCACAGATTAAGAAAAAAAGAAAGCAAATAATAATAATAATAATAATAATAATAATAATAATAATAATAATAATAATAGTTGACCCTAAACATAGATGGGTGTCTACAGCTGTCTCTCTTTACATATCCCTGATAGACAGGAAAGATATAAAAACCTAGACATTCACTTTGTCCAGGCCCAAAAATCAATAGGCAAAAATGACCAAAACTAAGCCGTAAGTCAAAATGATGATTGGATTGAGCCAAGATCGAAAATGAGTGATTGGGATTAAACCACAAATTAAAGAGATGATCTAGATCTAAGTCGAGATCAAAATGAATGATCGGGTTTGAACCATCGATCAGAAAAAAATGATTTAGACTAAGTTAAGATCGAATGACCAAGATTAAACCATAAGTTAGAAAAATAATCTGGACCGAGCTGAGATTGATCAAACAATCGAGGTTGAGTCATTCGTCAAAAAAATGATCTGGACTAAATCAAAATCAAAACAAGTGATCGGGATCGAACTGTCAGTTAGACACATGATCTAGACTGAGCCGAGATTGAAAGCAAGTGACTGGGATCAAATCTCAAGTCAGAAAGATGATTTGAACTGAGTTAAGATCAAAATAAGTGATCAAGATTGAACCGTAGGTTAGAAAAATAAAATGATCTAGACTAAGTTGAGATCGAAACGAGTGATCGAGATTAAACCGCAAGTCTAAAAAATAAAAGTCAAAATTTTTAGCCTAAAATCCAAAGATTCACAATTTGAAAATTTAAAGATTTGCAAGGTTCCATAACAGAAGTTGAAAGATTCCAATACTCCAAGTTTCGTAAAAGATTCGCAAAGATTTTAAAATTTACAAAAGTCAAGATTCACAAAGGTTTACAAGAATTCTAACTTTTGCAATAATTTTTGTTTCGTAAGAATTTTCAAGTTTGTCAGGATTTGCAAACT